CTGTTTAGTTTTGCTTTTTAACTTTATTTATAGTTAACTGTTTTGATTGCATTCTTTTTTCTTTGTGTGTTGCTGACGGCATTACATTATAATTCTGGAAAAGAAACTGCAACAGGATGCTTTTACCCTACACTCGAGTATAAACACACACTCTCTCACTTAAAGCAATTTTATTCTTTTTTGCATTTCACAAAATAATAATAATAATAAAAACAATAATAATGATAATATATTCTATTTATAAGGCACTTTTAAAAGGTCATTTAATAAAGTCAGCTGCATGTGGAGGCTTAATGAGACTTGGATGAAGGAACACTAGCAGTTAGGAGGTATTTAAGGTGATTATAGGTTGTTCGAGTTTTTCAACTGGTCACTGTACACCTCCGTTGTTGGAGGAAATCCAAGCATTTTTCCTGAGTAAGTCCATAAAGTGTTAAAGATTTTTTTTTTTTTTAAATACAACAGACTTCTTATTGATATAAAGGTGATAATGCCAGTCTTTCCCCAACCCTACAACCTGCGACAATGCAGGCTCACAAGGTCTGTTCCTGCAACAGCTTCTTTCAAGTCACTGTCAGGCTTGTGGCACCGGACAGTAAGGAGAGACAGACATATTTCAGGTGTTGAGTCAAGGAAGCAAAATAAAAGCCCTTAAAAATAAATGAGCAGCTCTGGCCCAAAAGAGAGTGCAAGCCCCAAAGCTTACCTCTCTTTTTTGCAGACGCACTCGGGTTTTGGACTTGTGATGTGGAGGGACATTCTTGCAGGGATGACATGCTGACCTCATCTTCTGACCCCTCTTCTCTTGGCATACTGACATCTGGACAAAGAAATAACTTTATTGTAGTATACACTACATGAAATATGTAATAGCCATCAGTACAGTGGTTGTGTTATTTTATAAAATAATTTAGTATATTCAATTCAATTTTCAATCCAGTTTATTTATATAGCGCCGATTCACAACAGATGTCATCTCAAGGCACTTAATAAGAAGTCAGTATATGGGATTTGTGTCTCTTAAAGAGAGACAGTTTATTTCATCCCGTCTCCTATAGTCCTAAATTCTTTTCAAGTGACTAGTGATGTGAAAATATTAGTTGTCATGTTAGCCCAGGGATGGGCAACTCCAGTCCTCAAGGGCCACTATTCTGCAGGTCTGAAATGTTTCCCTGCTTCAACACACCTGATTCAAATTAAATAGATCAAACAGCTTGTTGCCAAGCTCTGCACAATGAATCAGGTGTGTTGCAGCAGGGAAACATCTAAGACCTAAAGGATAGTGGCCCTCAAGCAGTATATTTCCTCATATAGTGTATGGACGACAGACCGTCCCACGCAGTCCACTAGTGCTGAAGTAGCTGTGCGCCGAAAAGATTGTATGTTGGACAATATAAGATGAACTGATTTCATCAGACAGAAAGCGACTGTTGTTAGTGACATTACAAGTAGAATTAACGACAAGGCTGTATGAGTTTATTAGATGTCATCTAACCCGATGGCATATGCGTTTGAGCCAGTGATGAGGAGGAGGGTTGAGAGACCCGTTTTTGGTTGAGGGAGCTGCAGCGGCTCCGGACGGAGATGACAGTGAGAAGAGGGTCGGCAACCCTTTGCAGTGCAAGTGCGGTCACTGCGATCAACTGTGGAGTCTGTTTGCTGCCATGAAGCAGACTTGGATAATGTGCTCAGGGAATTGTCCTGCATCACCTTATCGCGCACATTCCAGATGTTCTGTAGTGACAGTGACGTGTTGTAGTAGCTGTGCTATCCCTGTATGAAGTCTGAGCCGAGAGATTAGAGCAACCTATAAGCAATAGGTGGGTTCCCGCTAACCTCAAAGTTAATGCTACTTGTAATTTCAGGCAGTACTGACGCAGTGTTCAGTTTTAAAACTGGGGTTGTGTTTGACTGATTGTGCAGCCTCTGCATCAGACAGGTCTCCTGACAGAGTTGCAGGAGAAAGAGGTGGGTGGGACAAAGAAGGGAGGTGGAGTTGTTGATGTTGAAATTTTTGCCACGTGCTGTGTGAAATGCACGAAAGGTAAGAATTGCGTTCAAGCTCACCAGTTGCAGACACTCCCTGGTTTTGACTTTGTGATGTGGAGGTACATTCTTGCGTGGATGACATGCTGACCTCATCGTCTGACCCATCATCTCTTAGCATACTGACATCTGGAGAGGGAAATAACTTAATACAATACACAAAATATCTAAAACGGATCATTTAAAAATCAATTTAGGAACATCGTATACACATACCTTCAATGTCCACTCTCTCTGGAGGATCTACTTCCACTCTCCCTGGGCTTAGACTTGCTCTGTCTGGAGGACTCGCTTCCACTCTCTCTGGAGGATCTACTTCCACTCTCCCTGGGCTTAGACTTGCTCTGTCTGGAGGACTCGCTTCCACTCTCTCTGGAGGATCTACTTCCACTCTCCCTGGGCTTAGACTTGCTCTGACTGGAGGACTCGCTTCCACTCTCTCTGGAGGATCTACTTCCACTCTCCCTGGGCTTAGACTTGCTCTGTCTGGAGGACTCGCTTCCACTCTCTCTGGAGGATCTACTTCCACTCTCCCTGGGCTTAGACTTGCTCTGTCTGGAGGACTCGCTTCCACTCTCTCTGGAGGATCTACTTCCACTCTCCCTGGGCTTAGACTTGCTCTGACTGGAGGACTCGCTTCCACTCTCTCTGGAGGATCCACTTCTTCTCTCTCTGGGCTTAAACTTGCTCTGACTGGATGATGCACCTTTGTTCTTTTTTTCCTTTTCCAGGGTTAATTCCATACTGCTATCACTTTCTGTGCTTTCATCCATGGGATTTGGAATATACTCCTCTTCGCTACCTGAGTTTGAGTCATCCGATTCCATGAGATTTATCTGAATCTTTAAAAACAAACACACATCTGTTAATAACTATTTTTGCAACATTAAATATAAAAACCTGAGGATACTGATTGAACAGGCTCAGGATACTAAATGAAGAAAAATCTGTATGGACCATTTTCAGTACAAGTAAATTTACAAATTAGAAGAATCCCCATCAGACTCACTAGCAAGAGCAACAGACATTTTCACAATCGTAACCCCCCCCCCCCCCCAAAAAAAGACTTACGGGACGGCAAGACCTTCTTCTCAGTTTCTGTGAATCCCTTTCAGACTTAAAAGGAGTCTCCTCTGCGCTGTCACTACTTGAATCATAGAGACTGTGGGTAAAATCTTGTACTCTATCCATCTGCAAAAAGGGAGACATGGAGATATTTTGCTGTATGATTGCTGTATTTTTTTATTGATAGGGAGACCATTCAGAGGTTGTCAGGTGAGCTAGACACCTATGAAAATTATTGACCAATATTACCCCTCCATCCACCTGCTGAGGCCCATGTCCAAACTGCCTTCCAGGTGGAGTAAACGTTGACAAAATTATTAAAAAAGAGTAACGTTTCAGTTTTCATGCATTTGATTGTTAAATTTAATGACTTCACAGCAAATGATTCATCATAATGATATAGTGTCATTCCTGTAGACATGGAACTACTCAAGAGAGAGGGAGAGATTAGTCAATAATTTAATCAGTCAGAAAAGAGAGAGAGTTGAGCTTCTCTAATAAATGATTACTGATTAAATAGAGATCACCAACAATCAATTGATAATTAATGCACCAGGCGAGGACGAGGACTCGACCGGATTTTGGCAACAGAGACCGGCCCTACCGGGGTTTGTCCCGGTATGCTGGCTGACCAGTAGCCTACATCACTGGGCACGTTGTATCTTTTTTATTTATTTTTTTAAGCACACACCTGAGCGCTGATCATTGGACATCACTCCTGCAGGTGTTTATGTCAATCCAATAGATTCAATTTCAAATGAGTCCATTTAAATTCAGATTTTAAAAGCAATTGTTCAAAACAATCGATTCAGGTTCAAAGTAAATGATTCCCATTTAAATATAAAATTCAAATTCGCTTACTAGTGGCAAAAAATTTATCACATAAACAAGTTAATTATATTGTTAAAATGTGTTTTGGGGCTTACCAGAATGCTTTTTGTGCGTCTCAGTGGTGGAACAAGTTCATCATCCGATTGATTGTTGGAATGGTTGCTTGGAGAAGCCTCATCACAAGTTTCTTTCACAACAGTTTCATCTGAATCGTACAAATGATCTGAAACATCTGGGCCAATATCATTCTGCCCTATAATAACATCCAGGTGTGGGGTGGGAGGTTCGTTTTCCATACCATCCTCATCAGTTTCATCGCTATCTGGATAATCAACCAGTGAAAATCCTTGGACAGTAAATACCTAAAAATAAACAAAAATTCATTAAGTATGGAATTAGAAAGGTTGGCCAAAGAAACATGGCATGGTCTGACTAAAAATCTAAATCCAGAAATGTGAACATCAGCCCTTTTAGACAGTGTACAATTATAAATGTTAAAATCAGAGTACAGCTATACTATAGTATTACAATACTATCATATAGTTGCCTGAGGAAGACCATTTGGATTGAAACCTTTGTTTTTTAGTCAATAAAAAAGGTAACTGTGAGCTTTAACCCAGTATGCAGATTTTCTTCTTTTTCCTCCCCAGATGTTACCATAATGCATTAAAAGGTGCCCCACAAGAATGGGACTGGAAAGATGCCAGTGTGTGTTACATTACCTGGCCTTTACAACCCAATAAAGGTCACCTGACTACTTTAAAGCCCCGTGAGCATTGGTCCATGGTCCAATTGACCATTACAGGGGTTTTCAGTGCATCAAATCAAAATATTTAACATCAAAATTCAAATCAAAAAGATGCTTTAAAAACATCTAACAGCTCAGACACAGTATACAATTAAAAATGTTAAAATCACAATTGAGGTCATGTCAGGTGTTGCCACAGTGCATTAAAAACAATTACAGTAAGAACTGGACGGAAGGGCCCCACATGGGTCAGACTACAGACATACGAGTGTGTAAAGGAGCGACTTGAGAAACAAATGTATTTGGAAGATGGAAGGACCCCATAAGAACATGACTGGAAACATGCCGGTGTGTGTGACATTACCTGGCCTTTAACAGCCAATATAAAGCCACATAAGCATTGGTCCACTTTAGTAATAGAACACCACCACATACATGTCAGCATAGATGAATGTGTTTGAATGTACTTTTACCTGTGTGCAGGTCTGATCTGGGTTAGGTCTATCATTAAGCATCTGAGGAACAGGGCTGGTCTCATTCTCTTCTGCTGCGGCTGGAGCTTGGGTTTTTTTCAACTGGATTGCAGATAAAGAAGAACTCATTTTAACACACATCACAGATCAAAGATTAAATGCATTTCCATAGACAGTCAAGAGTAATATTGGAAACATGGTTAATTTTGGAGAAATACAAAATTTTCTTTTGCAACAAAAAAATTTAAAAAAAGAAATCTCTATACTTAATCTAACCAACTCACCTTACAGCGCCAAGGCCATTTTGAATCACCATAGTTGTAATCAATTTCATCTCCTATTTCTATTTTCTTCAGAGAAAAAAGGCACAAATGTGGTTTGTTGTCAACTATGATTTTTTTCATAACGCAATTTGGATTTTGGTGGTTGTCATTGACCAATCTTCCGAGAGATAAATCTTCTTCAGATGCATCCAGGCTGAAAAGTATCAAAAAATGGTAATAGTTTTACATCTTTTTAAAAGTTTTATTGAAAGAGTTATTTTCAAAAGAATTTAAGAGTATTTTTGCTTAACTCATTCATCAAGTATTAAACCCTTGTTTCAGGGTTAACTCATAATTTCTCTAAATCAATACAAAACATCCATCTTTCAATGTTTACCATAAGTGATGATTCTGCCACTGAAAGTCAAAGAGAAATGTGCTTTCAATCTCTGAGTATTTTCTTGACTTGCATTCCTCCTGTGTGAGGAGTTTACCCCTGACTCCAACACGAAGTCCCCGGGTTCAATGGGTTGTGTGGCAAACACTCCTCTTCCTACAATAATATAATAATTAAACATTTCATTCTGGGACTAAAAACAGATACTACAGTATTTTCAAAGTGAGGTTGATGTTCTTGCGTCTAGTCAGTGTATTACCTGCAGACAATGCTCAGCACTCTCCCAGTTGTGATACACACTCTACAGGTAAAGTGCTTTTTTGATCAGACTTTGTGGCCAAAAAATGTTTTTGATGCAGACCCATCCACATCAATGCATCATTGAGGTCCTGTCTATGCTCTGTTTGGTTCCCTTAAAGGAGTCATGACCTGTAATTTTCACTTTTCCACGAGAATCAATAGCCGCGTTTCCACTGTCAGGCCAGTGCGAGCCAGGGCTTTAAACTGGGCGGGCTAATGGCCTCGGGCCAGGAGCACCGGGCTCAAAACCAGCTGTTGCGTTTCCACTGTCTGGCCAGAAGCTCCACAGCGCTTCACTAAAACACGCTAGGGGTGAACTAGCACGGCCCGGCTCTGGCCCGACAGTGGAAACGCGGCTATTGTATGTTATGATTGCCTAACGATTATACACTGGCCGGGAAGCCGATATTTAAAAGTGAAGCGTTTGTTTACCCCTGGGTTCGTCAACCAGCCCACGTGCACGCGCACTCAAATACGAGATTTTATTTCTGCCCCGACTTGACGTCAAGACGGGGCAGGAAATACCATATATGGACACCGCAGACCTATGCTGCAGGAAGCCCGCCCTGCCCCTCTCCCCCTCATATTCAGTCGCGAAAGATGCAGAAACGTAGTGCACACGTGAGTTGCTCTGTTGTTGACTGCCAGAATCAACATGTAACTTAAATGTGTTTTCTCTCCCAAGAACGGACCAAGCTGTCAGGGACCAGTGGATTAAATTCATTTTTAATGACGCGGTTCCTACAACCCTTCCCACTGGCTTAACGTTAGGTGTCTGTGCTAATCATTTTACGCCGGAATCGTTCACAAATTTGAATGTCTAAAAAACCACAACGTGAAACAAGGCAAAACACCACATGATAGCAAACGTTGATCTCAATAACAACTGTAAGCTGGTAAAAAAAAGTAGACTACATCTCCGTTAATGTAATCTACATTAAATAAAAGGTATAATGAATGTCTCAGTCAAAATGATTGTTTTTACCATTCAGAGACATCTTGATGTAGACGTCCTTCCATCGACTCTACATCTTCCCTTTCCAGCTCAGATTCAGAGTCTGGCTCGTGCATGTACGGTTGAATTCCGTAGGTCGCAGCCAGGTCGGGTGCATTCACAACTTGCGCCATGATGTCATTTTGGAATGATATGCTGAAGTTACCTGCGGTGTCAACCCCCCCTCCTTCCTGCCACCAATCAACGCGCCCCTTTGCATTATTAAAATGACCATCCATGACAGCCAAAATATCACATCAGATCTCGCGAGACAATAATGCCTTCAGAAATAAGGGTCAGAGGAGCTCTCCACTTTTCTTTTTTAGAAGGGCCTGAAAGGCTATAATAGAGCGTGGGTATCCAAGGTAATACTAAGTTATGACTCCTTTAAACTGAGAGTGCCGTGTACCATTTAGTGCAGGTAACACCAGTGAAGCGTAAGAACATCATGCAACTCAGACTTTTGACATAGACAGACAGATGTACTATACTGATCCAAAACTGGAAAAATACATTGTAGCTGCAGCAAGGCATGAAACTAAATATTAAATAGCAATATAAAAAACGGAAAGTATTCCTGATTTACAAAATAAATATAGGACACAGAAACGCAATATAACAAACGTATATACAACAAATAGAGAGACTAGTTAAATAATGTATTGTGCAAATGAGCTTTAAAGACCCACTCAGATGAAAATCATGTTTTTCGTGTTGTTAACATGTTCTTGTGGCATTTTTCTAAAGCTAGAGGACATATCTTTAGAAAATTAAGCTCAAAATTGCATTTTTGAGTATTTCTGCATTCAAATGGCTGTGAACCAATGGCAGTCACTAAAAGGCAGCCTAAAACAGACTGGAGTTGTGATGTAATAACTCTGGGGGGGCCACAAGCTCCTGCCCCACTCCGCTCAGGTTCTGAGGAGTAGAGAAGACAATGGCGGATCAACACCTGTGTGCTGTAGTGGGTTGCAGTGCTAAGAAGAGAGATATTGGTATTAGCTTTCATAATTTACCGCAGCGCTGGCTCCGCCCACAACGCAGAGGCTAATTGCTAATGAGCACAGCTGGGACACTCAAGCAGAAGATTACTAACTTTGTCAGGCGGGGAAATTATATTGCCAGATGCCTAGCATGCAACTTAGCCAAGTCTACCCAACGAACTAGCCATGACTGGTGGGGAGGATGAAGCTGCTGCCGGGAGCTTTGAATCTCAGGTGGCTATATGCATCGTTGTTGTACGGGGCTGTACATTGCTCCATTTACACTTGGTCACAAATGTGTCGGATATAAATCCGATTTTCAACTCCCGCACTATATACTGATTTAATGGAGTTAAGATATGTGCTGCATTTTATTGATCGTCAGCTAAAATGTCAACATCAAAGAGAGTGGCAACAGCGCTGGTAAGATCATCTCGTTTCTTTACTTTTAATGAAGATGATTGTGTGTTAAGCATCTGCGACTTACTTTCACTTTGATTTGCGATAGTTTGCAAGTTGTCTTGATGAATAGATGCTCAGCTGCGCCGTGTTGCAGTAGCGTCGTCATATCTAGCTATAACATGACGTATAGCCTATAATAAAACACCCTCACACGTTTATTTTTTTGCATTTTTGGGAGGAGTAACATTTACATATGTGGTTTCAACAACCAGATGCACATACACTTGTCCGATCACAGAAAACACATGAAGTGAAGTGTAAACAGCCCCCGAGTGGTGGTATGTCAGCGAGCTTTGCTTGGCATAATTTAAAATGGTTGGTCGCAGAGTAAACGGTCACGACAATGCTCTTCTTCTGTTGTTTGTTTACACTATGCACAAAACACAGGTAGCCTAGATCGCGCAGTAGGGTGTTTCATTCATGTTAGCTGACGACACCTTGTGTCCCCGACAGGAAAATACCCAGCTGCGTGTTCTGTGAATGTAGGCGCGGTGTCAATTTAGAACACATAGGAATTGCGCGAAAATATAACGATATTCGAAAATGCTTTTTTATGATCGAATTTCGCACGCAGTTCCGACTATTTGAAGATCGCGACTCATCCCTAACATCAACAATAATACTTTTTTGCTTTTGAAATGCACAAGTTGTGTCAAGGAATCTTCTGCAACTTACCTTTGTAACGGTCAATGAATCTCGGCATAAACCCATCCTTGTCAGTGCAAGACAGAATGTATGTCTTTGCATCGTCTATAGGCTTTTTCCTCCTCCTCCTTGTGGACATAATGGCTCTGTGAAAATAATTGTAATTCGTACTTAGTCAAGGCAAATCTCACAAAAAGGTTTTTGAAAAATAGCAAGTCACAAAAAAAATCTATTATGTAAAATAAATAAATAAACAGACATTCATACAAACACATAGACGCTGCAACAGCTGTGTACTGAGCTTTGCTATTGCAAGATGCACATTGTTTAACATCAAACACGGGCTAATGAAATATGCAAATTCTGAAATGAGCACACTGAAAGCTGACCTAGCCTGTTGAAGCCGAGAAGTTAACTTGTTAGATGATAACCATGTTGTGCTGCACAGACACTCCGTAATCAATTTAAACTAGGGCTGTCAAACTTAACTTCTGGTACAGCAGCATGGCGGCGTTGCCACATGACTATTGACTGACATATGCAGCATCACATCCTTCCTCATACATAAGTGCATGGATGGTTATGGGGGGGTCCAGGGTAGGCCGGTACCACCAGGACAAAAGCTTGGTGAAAACTTCCCTTAGAAGTATTGAGTCTAAACAAGCAAAGGTTTCACATCTTGCTACATTTGTTGATCAGTTGATCAGTCACAGTGATGCTCTGAAATTTAAGAATGTGTTTTTATTTGTTAAAAATGTGGGTCAATGACGTGACGCCTAAATTTTCTGTTCGACTGCATTTTTTCAGGCAAAAATGGGTTTAAATGCCTAAAAGGATACTGCATATTTGTAGTACCTCTCCCATGTATGTACTCACTTTAACTTTTCAAAAACCTTTACTTATTTGTTATTTTTTTTGTTATTTAAAGTGTCAAAACATCATGTGGTGCGTAAGTTCGGCCATAACTTCTGTTTTGAAAACATCTTTGATATTGATTATTATTGAGTGACTCCAACACGGCACCGTAGCTTCAGTCCTGCGTTAGCTTCTGGCTAACCTCCATCAGCGAGTCCTGCCCTGTCTTGCTCACAATTCACAACCGATTCCACCTTTAACGACAGGACTTCACTGGACCCTGTCTCTGCCCCGCTGTCATGTCCGTGGTGACGTTATTAGGTTATGCCAACTGCTAATAGTAATATTATGTCGCTAACGTTAGCTACATGGCAGCTAAACGAGGTAGCAAACATCACGATATAACGCCAAAATATGAACTCACTTGCATGAAGAGGTCGGTATTTGTAAAAATATTCAGATTTCCAACCACTCCGTCTTCTTCTGTCTTCAATCTTCTATCCTTGAAGTCTTCTTCTTCATCTACTTCTTCTTCTTGTGCAATTTCCGCAGTTTTCCTTACATTCGCGGCTGATTGTACAGTGCAGTAATTTCATTGGCCAAAGGTTTCAGATTCCCGCGGTGTGTATTCGATTTCGCGGGAAGTGTATATCCTGACTTCCGGTACAAAAAGGCTGGACGATACACACCTTCACACACTTACCCACTTTTTGCTACCTTACGGGCCACTTTTTAGAAATGGAAAAAAAAGCAATGGTAGCATCAGGGGAAGCTGCTGAGCTCATTTTAATTGAAATCGGAGTGGGGCCCAAAATGGTGGGCCCCACTCCGATTTCAATTAAATTAATTTTGGAACTCCTT